ACTGAATCAATGAGCAGTATACTGAGCAAATTCAGGGAGGCAGTGAAGGACAGGAAGGCCTGGCGCAATATGGTTCATGGGGTCACGAAGAGTCGGACACGACTTAACGACTAAACAACAACAAAATTTTAAAACCATTTGGCTGTCCACATTTAGCTGAGCAGTGTTAACTTCTATACATTATTATTCTATATGTTATTATGCTGTGTAGATCTTCATTTGATCTGTCATGAAACTACTTGCAATCAATTTCTCTACAGGAATCATGAATTCTTAATGGTAATATTATGAGAAATGTTGGAAAATGTCTGTTTTATCCATACAATTCATGGAAAGTACAATATAATCAGTTATCTCTGATATGTGACAGAGAATGAAGAAGTGCATTTAATTATTTCCTAATCAAAAGCTGGATCCATAACTTGTATGTTTAAAACAGCAACCAGTGATCTAAAAGGTAGGAGGCAAGTACTTTATCAAGATCCATAACAGCAATTCCAGAAAGAGTAGGAGGTTAAACAATGTCTTCACCACAGAAAAATACCATTAAGTTTGAGGATGCTATAGTATATGGTAGGCAAGGTTAACTGACAATTTTAATTTAATTTATTAAACTTGTATGCTGCTTGACTCTCAGTGACTCTGGGCAGCATACAAATGCATGCCAGGTCAATATTAAAGCTGAGATGGTAGTTTTAAACTATAGAGCTACAGGGTTTGAGTGGAATCAGAACACTGATAACCAGATGGACGAGATTCCAGCCACTGACTGCTGGAAGGATGCACACACCTTGGCATTTTGCAACGACTAGTTGCAAGTACTGCAAAACTATACATGATTTGTCACAGTTGTACGTAAAAACATTTGTGTATGTGAAACTCATTAAACAGCTGCTCATTAATCATCACTACATAAGAAAGCAGTGGGGAGAAAATCTGCATTCAATCCACTTCCTTGCCTCCATCTTTCAGAACTGCATTTCAGTGTATCATTCTGACCATGTTGGTTAGATATATACTGGTAAAGATAAAATCATCTTCAAGTCAAACTTGATTCCAGGTAATTTCATGGACACAACCATGCAGTTTTCTTGGCAAAAGTACAGAAGTGCTTGGTCACTGCCTTCTTTCAGGGTGTTTTACAAATTTCCAGCCTACCCTACAGTCCTAATAGTCTCCCATGTAAATACTAAGTAGCTCAGTCCTGCTTAGGTTCTGAACCCTGGCAAAGTTAGCTGATATATGCATGTAATTCCAGCATAAATTTCTGAATCTGAAGTTCTGACTGTTGTACAGAGAGCAAATCACACAACACAATTTTGGGTGCATCAGAATTAACTGATCTGTAGAATATGCTTACATGCAACATAAACTTGCATCTACATATAAATTACCTTTTCTTGATTATTGCTTTTAGATATCACTTAACCACTTGAATATCTCTAAAATAATCATTTTAAATATATTACATGCATGGATGGAGGTAAAATTAATTGCCTATAACAGTTTTGGAGAATCCATGTAGTTTACCAGAATTAATTGCTTATAATAGCTTAAAAAGCCTTGCTGGCTGGTGGAACCATAGAAAACTAATGGTAGAAATCTAATGCTTCTAGAGTATCTGATTAGACAGTTTTCAGTAAAGTACTGCACAGCTTAGCCAGTAGAACAGAATTGGTCAAACTTTGAATTGTTAACTTGCCATTTTTAAAAATTATATTTAAGGAATATAATTTGGGGGGAGGGAAGCCCTAAGTTTCACACAGTGGTAAGAAAGAAAAAGACCCCCACACTTCAGGACAGGTATCATGTACATTGTTATGAAACTTTCTTTTACAATGACATTTTTCTCATGGTGGCGAGGTACATCACTGGAAAAATACAGACTGCAATCTTCTGGAAAAATAAATTCTAGAAAAATCATAAAGGGAAATAATCCTATTGTATGTATTCAGTATATTTAATCTTTTAAGCTTATCATACTTACTGTTAAGCTCTCTGTAAGTCATATATGGATTTTTTTCAGAGAGCTGTTGAGAATGAAGTCCAACTACGTATCTTCCCATTCTCTGTTAACCAAATATTAAATACACTGATTTTAATACATAAAGGAAAACTGTACTTTGTCACTCCAGAAATGCAGACTATAATTCTGAAAGTTCTTAGTATTGAAAATCAAACAGTATAAAACGTGGTGCCTCATGTTCTCAACCAATCTAAGATTGTTAACTAAGGAATAAGATCAAAATCTATAAATAATACATGGAATCATATTGACACTGGCATCCTCAGAGAGAGAAGGGAAGACAACGATTTCACATTCATAATGATGTCATCACATACTGTAACATCATTGCACAGATGATCAAATTATGTAATTTACATCACAAATGTAATGTATCATTTGCATGATAATGTCATGAGAGGCTAACTTTATCACGGCTTCTTATATAGACACCTATGCATATTTAGCAATACTAGGGATAAACCTGTTGATTTCATTTGGTCTATTTTAAATATTGTTTATTATCTGATAAAACTTGATAGATAAGAGGTTGCCTCTTTTGAAATTGTGATGAGAAAAATGGGAAATTCTGCATACTTCAGATTTCTCCTTCCATGTAGCTCACACTGCAGCACATTGGGCAAGGTGTGTGTGTGTGTGTGTGTGTGTGTGTGTGATGAAATATGCATTGCAGCATTGGAATGCTATGTCCACCATTATGGACTTCTGTGAGACATAGTGATGAAAATATAAAAGGGCGGAGCTTTTGTATCGTGATGTCATGAACACGTATCATCAATCTGGTAACATGTAGTTAGGAATGGACACCTATGATAGCTCATAAGAGTCTGTAAACACAATCCAAAGAACAAACTCCTTATTTATTTATTTATTTATTTATTTATTACATCAGTTTACACAGGCAACTCTCACCACAGGCAACTCTGGGTGGCGTACAACAAAGCTAAAAACAGCAAAATGCATTAAAAATATATAAAACAAAATAAAACAGAGAATAAAAGGAAGTTAAAAATAAGGGAGGCACCTCACTAATTCCCTTGTCCTCTGGAGTACCCAGGCCTGCTGGCATAACCAAGTCTTAAGGGACCTCCGGAAGCTCAACAACGATGAGTCCAGTCTCACTTCAGGGGGAAGAAGATTCCACAGTACAGGTGCCACAGCAGAAAAGGCAGTATAAGCTCCATATAAGGAAACAGTACTTTTGACAATACAGTACTGTTTTACTACAGCATGGAGAAGTTAGTACTGATTAAGAGCCAAGTCACATTTCAAATGGAATAGGCAGTCAGAAGGCCAAGTGTTGGTTTGAATCATAGGAGTCAAAGAGATAGCAACTCTTCCTAGATTTGGAATGTATATATAAGAGCATACATTCTTCTATGTAAGTGTCATTCTCCAGTTCTATATGTACAATCACTATCCTTATCCACTATCCATACAAATGCCTTGGAAAAAAAACCTATTAAAACCAGCTTGCTATTTTTAAACTATCCTGCTTAGCAATAGCAACAATAAGTAAGCATGAATCCTTGGCCACTAAATATATTAAAATTACACTATTTACACATAGCCTTAGGTAAATACCCTTGATAATTGTCCAAAATGTAGCTCATTTTACTTATACATATGTATTTGAGTGAATAACAATTATTCATATTTCTTATGAAAATTGGTAGAAAATTATGAGCCAAATTAAAAGGGATAATTGTTCGATTTCAAATCATTGTTTATTTTAAAACAATGCAGTACATTTCATTACGCAAAGTGTGCCTGTTTACTTATCACATTAAGCAAAAGGTGAATAGCAGAAGCTTACAATACAAATTGCTAAACATATCACCAAGATAAATAAAGTCCTAATGAGGAACAGAGAATATCTGCAATAGCAAGATTTTTACCCATGACTACACAGAAGATCTAGCAATCCAAAATATAATCCCATGTAGATTCATGCTTCAATTAATATACATTATTATGAAATTATGTATAGCGCATAACTAATACTTATTTGAGTGTTAATTAATACATCTCCCTCTTTTGAGAATTTTGGGGGAGAACCATTGCAGAAAGGTTTATCCTATTGCTACATATGTTCTTTACAGAAAACATAGTCCTACTGCTTAATCAGCTTCATTTGATATTTGGTTATTGGCAAATTACCAACAAGCATATTTTTTTAAAGGTAATATTTAAATGTCTGGTTAGTCACCCTTACCAAATTCACTACTTTGGGGGTGAAAAGTAATCCTGGAATATGTTCACCTAGCCATAACTACTATATCAGGAAGACCATCTGGAACACACCATAAGAACATTGATTTAGGACTGGAGCACATTATCCAAAAGGATACATGGTGGAGCCTTTGTTCATCTATGCCATTTTAAACTGTAGACCCCAAATTGGTATGTCAAAGAGAAGGATTTTACTCTAGCTTTGATATGCTAGTTTCTGTACTGTAGAGACCACAATCCTTCCAACTGCAGTATGAAATAGTACAAACCCTTCAAAATTTGAAGTGGTGATCACAGAACTATCACTTATTAAGCAAAATTATGATTACCTGCATTCTCTGTGGTCCTATTTATCTCAGTCTAGATAGGCAGCACAGACTAAATTTTCCCTGCCAAAATCAATGGTGACATTCATTCAAAAACTAGATTTTTTTTGCACATGATGGAAAGCCAATTTAGAGTGATTTTTTAAAAAGATTCTTGTTTTCTTTCAGTTTTTCAAAAATTTAACAAAAGCTGGAAAAGACTGAAAGGATCTTTTGATCATATGGTATATAAACAACATATAGAATTTAAGCCCAACCCAATACAACGTGAGCAACAAGAAGGTAACACATTCCAATGGTACAGGATATGATTGTCATGGGGAACCCCAACCTGAAAATTAAGAAAAAAAAAAAGATAAGCAAGGACTCAGCACTTTCTTATTAATGTTCTAAATAAATTAGCTACAAATACTGTAGTAACTTTGGAATCTAAGATATTGTTATAATTACATGATATTTAAAATCATTGAGATATGGCAATCATTATTAACAATAACAAGGCAATACCAAGTTAGCATTGTAATTGGTTGATGCATTACAATTTTATAGGCATAATTTACAAACATATGTGCATCTATAATCCATCAGACTAAAAAGAAAAAAGGAAGGCAAAATCTGGGGAAATATCATCATTATAAAGTCCTGCTGAAAACACGATTGGAAACCAGTCTCAACCGTTTATTTAAATGAGATTTAATCTTAACTATTTTTGTTGGATTACGCCAATAACTTGAGTAAGAGTTATTTCAATGTTATCTAAATATCTAGAGTTCCACGTCCTAAGTGTATAGAGGAAGGATACAGCTGGCATACCAAAGGTGGACGAAAAAGCTTTGCTGGCCATTTTCAGACATTACCTGAAAGTCAGAGAGTAAGATCGGAGCCAGAAATGCGAAAGCATGTTTAAAAGTGCTTTCTTCAGAAAGAACATGACTCCTCTAGAATAGATACATTGCAATCTGTTCTAGGTCTTCTGTATTACTTACTATCCACATGCTAGTGGTAACTGAATATATTTCTACAATGTTGGGCATACCAATTGAGATTCTAGGATTTGTCAGCAAAGGACCAAGGACCAAATCAGAATAATCATGGAGTACTCCCACAAACCTCATGGAATATTGATCTAATGTTTCTCAGCAACTTTTGTGCCATATGGTAAATTTTGTATGACACCCCTTTGCAGTATAAACCTGTCTTTGATAATAAAAGCAGGTGTATGGCTCTAAGTTTAGAAAACTCTGTCGTTGAGAAGTTAAATATCACATCCAGAAGGAAGCTCGCTCCCTGACTGATCAGGTGGACAATGGCTGTTTAGATGTCCTTTTTTCCTTTAGGGAGGACATACAGTACTGCATTTATACTGTGGCGGCCAACCAGCAGGGCATTTTGGAATATTCCCACCTTCTGATTTTTGGTGACCTTTTGTTCAGGGGCCACCAAACTATCACCATGCCAAACCTTTAACCTCAAGCATCCTGTCCCCTCCCCTGCATGAGTCTTGGGACACAGTTTCCTCAGACCTTATTACTGACCTATCAGATGCCATGGGTCTGACTCCATATTAGGCATGGTTGATTTCCTTTTAAAACAGTTCATTTCATCTCCTGTCATGGCCTTCCTTCTGCCCCTCTTTACTCATCACATCTTCCAACCCCCAGGCATGCCCTATCACCTGATTTCAGGCAGAAAGATTCAAATCACTGCCTATTTTTAGACAGCACTCTTTTTACTCCTGGATGTTAACCTCCATTTTGGCTCTGCTCTCAACCTACTATGTAGAAATGTACACTGAAAACCTTGCCAGAATTCAAAGAAAGGTGAATGACACAGCTTACACTTATCCACCTATTTTCTTAATAAGAAAAATCAGAGGGAACCTTAGGATATTAGTTTCCTTATTAAAATCTATCTTTATGTTCTACTACTTTAAACAAAGCAATAATCCAAGTAACTTTTAAAGCCTCTTATAACAGTTGTTCCAATACAGCAAAGAGCTGGAAGCATGGGCAGGATGAGTATATATTACATTTCTACTAATTTAATTGAAATACAGCTCAAACTTTTTAAAATTAAAAATCTACTTTATTTTTAAAAAGCTAGAAAAGAAATTCAAATACTTTCTGATAGGAAAGCAGCACTTTCTAAAACGTATTTGCAGTTAGCAAATACGCCTACCAGAAAATGTCCTAGTTACATATATTATGGTTGGGAGTATCAGCAATGTGTTATTCATGTATCTAGAGGTAAGCCTGAGATCAAGGGTCTGGGATCTCCTCTGGAAATCTTAAATTAAATTAGCCTTTCATCTGATTTTACTCAAAACGTATTTCTCATCACTTTCTTGAGCTCTGTGATAAATTAATCATATTATGTAAGTGGGCTTCTGTTTGCACCATGGGCTGAAATCTCAGCATCATCCCTTTATCCATTGCCTATAAACAGACATAGGACCCAAAGCTATTCAAGTTATTTTGGACCCTGAGGTAGAATATCCCACAAGTTCTTCTCCCTTCTCTTGTAGTAAAGGTTCAGTAATATTATAAAATAACCAACCATTTTATATGCATTCATAACACCTCAAATCAGTTGTTTGAGGCAGACCCTCTTTCTCCCTAATGATAGTGTACATTTGCAGGCAATGATCAGACATTAGTAAGTGTTCCTTTCATTCCAAATGACCCTGGCCATTTTTATATCTAGCCCAGCATTTTTCCAAAAACATTGACTTCAACTCCGAGAATTCTCAATCATGTACATGCTATGTGGAGAATTTGGAAGCTGAAGTCAACAAATCTAGAAATTGCCAAGGTTGAGAAACACTGATCTAGCCCATTACTGCCAGATCCACAGCAGCTTCCCATGGACACAAACAGGAAACTCTTCGTGGTACTTACCTGAAAAAAAAAAGGGGGGGGGGATTGAAACTGAGCCCTTACATTGTGCTGTGATCCTTTCAACATACTGTATGTGTGTTCAGCCTAAAAGTGACAAACTGCTGCAACTGTATTTTGCAATTAAGCTTCATCTTGTGGGGTCCTTGGGGTTCTCTGAGCTTGGTTGTTTTCTTGCAGGCATTTCATTACCCTACTAGGTAACATCTTCCACAAGATGATACCTAGTAGGGTAATGAAACGCCTGCAAGAAAATAACCAAGCTCAGAGAACCCCAAGGACTCTACAGTTCAACCTTGAGCTACATATATTCTCTTCTAAAAGCTTCCTCTTAGATATATAACTCTTCAGAATTCAGCCAGTCTCCCAAAGGCAGTCTGAAACAGCATAGAATTCTTCAATTAATTTTAATTATCTCATAGCTCACCTAAATGTTAAGGGGAGAAAATGCAATATAATCTCAGTTTATTGCTATTGCATCTGCTGTTTATATTTTCTGTCATGTTCTCATGTTCTTTTGGCTTCGTGGATTCTTCTACTGATTTATAAGCAGCTGTCAAAAGGGGCTTTTCAACCTTAAAAACTTAAATTGTGTTCTAGCTGCATGTGCCTTATACTTTAATAATCTAAAGACTATGGTTTCAATTTTAAGATAAATTAATTTATCTGCAAAAGATCTTAAGAAGCTTTCCCTTCTTTTCTCCCAATCTAAGCAAATACATGTTTTTTTCAAACGTCTGTCTCCTTTTATCTTCTTTTTCTAATGATACTGTACATTACTTTTTGGGAATACATGGACATCCTAAATTCATCTGTTTAATATAAATAACCACATCAAGATATCTGTCAGTAAATGAATCAATCATCACTGAAATGCACACACCCTCTGCTTTACTTCATTGTATGCATTAATGATAATGGATATGCAAATTTCATCCATTTGGAAAAGGAAAATTCCTGAGAATTCTGGAATGTTCTTTTCTCCTCTAGGTCCTGTCAAATATCCTCCTGAACAATGCAATTTCAGGAGCAGTTTAAAATCAACCAGATAGACTTTACTACTTATAGATCAGTTCTGATATTAAAATACTGTGAGCACAGTCATATTTCAGTCCCCACTACCAAGTTGAATTTTTGTCCATCTGTCTTTGAGTCAGCAGAAAACAATAACATCATGAAATGTTGTTTGTCTATTGGTTAGGTTACAAGAGATGAAGGGCCCTGCATGTTTGTGAGTCTATGTCTCAAAGAGAACACCATCAGCCAATTAGTGCTCCTCTTTTCTCATCCCAGTGCAGAACTTCAGATAAACATCTATCCTAGTCATAATTGGGGCAGGTATGGAATTTAAATGTAAATTCACATTTAACTTATAGGTGGAAATGGTAACAAAAAGAAGCAAACACAGGTAGTCCCCAGGTTAAGAACACCCGGTTTACAGATGACTCATAGTTAAGAATGGAGCCTATATTTGAGTTAAATACACAGTTTGAGTTAGTTACACAATGCTACTTATACAGTATTAGACAATAATACTGCTCCAGCTTACATACAAATTTGACTTAAGGACAGACCTTGGAAATGTTAAGAAACTTGTTCTTAAACTGGGGACTACCTGTAAATCACATCGTGAGAACTGCCTCTTGAATCCCCTAAAGAACACATTCTTTTAATCATTAGATCTGTCTGTTTGTATCAATATGTATTCACTTCACAGAAGGGTATGTGTCTCAAAAATATCTCAAAACTCATATTCAATACATTATTCTAAAATTAAACCTCCCAAACTCATTTCCTAGTTGTAGTTACATGTGTTCCTAACCTCATGGCCTTTAGAAAAATGGTAAAGGCAGTCCTCTTTTAGAGGGCTTTCAGGTAGGAAGATCTTGCTTAATGGTCGCAAACAGCTGTTTATGAGCAGTATTTAATCATTTTGTTAATTATTACTTGCTTGTGCTAATTGTATTTATATATGTTTTAGTCTTATATATATTGCAAGCCATCTAGAATTTCTGGTATCATCAGCATACAAATGCAGGTAAATAAATAAATATTCTAGCTGTGTCAGCCTGCAGTCACCCATGACTCTCTAACATTCTGTCATGTATACCCTTTAAACATTAAGTAAGCTCTGAGTGCAGAAGAGACAATGTGGGTTCTTATACATTTTTTCATGGGAAATAGGGGCTACTGCTAAACAAGCAAGAAAGAGGAGACAGGCAGAGACTTTAAAAGAACTCTGGGAAGAAGGGAGAAAAGATGAAGATGCAATGGCTGGATGGCTCGAGACAAGGTTGACTGTTGAGGCTTTGTTGTTCCCAGGAGAGCCTGGGGATGAGGCCTGAAGACCCATCAAAAGGGACTGCCATGGGACAAATCTACCCTTCACAGATAGCTTCCATGGGAGACTGAAGAGAAAGAGAAAGAAGCCACCAAG